GCCAAGCCAAGCAAGGAAGTGCCTTGCTAGCAGGACATTCTTACCAGTGTCACAAACAGATGTTGCTAGATATGTGGCATGCACTCATTTTATACTCTAGGCTGAAGAATCCAAGGGGGAATGTCCTAGAAGCCAAGTTTCAAGCTACTCATTTAGGTTGCCTGACCTGGGCAATATAAACATAATGAAACACTGAGAATAATAAAGGTAAAAAATAAACTCAATAGTTATAGTACTGGTGAGAAGCAAGGAAAAAAAAACCATAAAAACCAAGTTGATTATTATTAATGAGCTAGAATAAAACAAGATCTTTTTTCCACCCCTCCCCCCCAAGTTTTCCAGGAGTTCCAAAATATCTCCGGGCAAGACATAGTAGATGCCATTAATGAATGTTACGATGGATACTTTCAAGAATTACTGGTTGCAATAGGTAATGTAAAGGTATTGTTTTTACTAGCAGCAATCTCTTCATAAACTCTAGTATATTATCTCTTGTGCATTGAATACTATTTTTCTGATATTTTATCCACTTTAATCTCCTATATTATGCAATTAAATTTTCAGAGAAAATTAGAAAAGAATATTTTAACTACTTTCCCCTGTTAGTGTAAATGTAAAAATGTATCTATGGAGCACTAGCTTCTGACTGAGCACAACTAGTATGTACTTTATTTGATAATAAATTTTGTGTGATAACTGCATTTGCAACTGATTGTACATATATCAAATAACCAGCTATGTTTTCAGGACTTTGGTGGTATATAAATTAGTTTCAAGCTTTTTGTACATTTATCTTTCATTTATAGAGTAAGGATAGAAATATTCCTACAAATAGAACATGTGAGTATATTCACTGATATTTAATAGGCCCTTTGAAGCAACAGCAATGAAGATCTACCACCAAACTTTCAAAATTATAAATATGGTTGTATTAGTGAATATTGGTAGCTTAATTTTAACCTGAGGCATGGACTGCACTACCCAGATTTTCATTTCAAGGAGCCCAAAGCCTAAAGAAAGTATTTTATAATAATCTTTTGTTTACCTGTTGCAATTCTTCCCTCCTAGTTCTCTGCATTCGTGACAAGCCTTCCTACTTTGCTTACAGGCTTTATAATGCAATTCATGTAAGTAGTCATTCTACCTCACATTTCCTAAACATAAGATTCCCTTATTTTGTTGGTTTTGTTTCTTTGTTTGATTGATTATTCTAAAACCAGTACTTACAAATCAGTCTCTTCAATCTTTAAGGTGTGACTGTGTGTTTTAAAACTGAACCTACATAAATTTCAAAGCAGTGGTGCCTAAGCAACTAAGCAGCAGAAGTGCCTAAGCAGTAGAAGGACAAGTTTAAGTATTTAGACACCTTAAAAATTATCTGTCTGGTAACTGTCAATTTTTTTTAATTGAAGACTTTTTTTCTTTGCATGGAAACTCCCCCTGCTGTGCAGAACTCAATGTACATTATTCTTACTATATAATTTTTGTCTGCAGAGATTTAATAAGTATGGCTAAAACTTAAATAATAAATTAATGTTACATGAAGACAAATGCTTATATTTCTTTGTAGGACTTCATGCAGATTCTTTTATTTTTTGTGTAAGTGCTAACTTCTTTTGATGTTTTATTGCCACTAGATGTCCCCATTCCTCACAGAATTATACTATGAAAATTTATTTAGGAACAGTTAAAATAAAACACGTGTGAACAAAACCAGTGTAAATTCTAAAGCTATGGTTAAAAATCTCACAGAATTCACATGAGGCAGCAGTTTTTGTGAAATTTATTACTGGCCTCATTATAGTTTGAGTGGACACTACAACAACAGTCACCTGCCTCTCAAAAACTGAATTCCTAGGAATACTGACAAAAGTTTGTCATATTTTCCTTTTTTAAAAGTTTCAGTGCATGGATAAACCACTGGCATGGAGGGACCCCTTGTTACTCAGTTACGCGAATTCTATTATTTGAGTACACGAAAACTCAGTAGAATAAAACCCTTAGACTCTTTTAACATCTAGGATATCTTTATGGGTATTTTCTTCTCTCATTTTCTTTTTTCATTTTAGGACTTTGGGTTTCACAATAAAACAGTTATTAGGATTCTCATTGCCAGGAGTGAGATAGACCTGATGAACATACGCCAGCGATACAAAGAGAGATATGGGAAATCACTCTTCCATGACATTAAAGTAAGCTTTTACAAACTTCTGCATATATTCACCACTGCCATCACACAGACTGTACCACTCTGTTTAGCCATTTGCTTTAAAACAAAACAAACAAAAAAGCAAAGTGTAAAAACAATAGCACATTTTCAGTGCCTCAGTTTGATTGGAGTAAGTGCGAAATTAATTCTCAACTCACTCTCTGATTTTATCCCTCTCCAATGCAAGATGTGTTTATAAACAGGGCATGACAGTGTGTGCTGAACAAGAGCTTGTATGAATGGTTTCCACACTGATTGAGAACATCTTGTCCCATGCTGATCTGTAAGGCTAGGCTGGTACCACTTTTGTGCAAAACTGAAGTAAATATCTGGTTTTATCCTTGTGCTTAGGTATCCAGGTGCTTCACAAACCCTGTTCCTCTTGTACTCCTGGTCTGCATCTTAAAAAAAAAACTTTGAATGTGTTTAATTGTAAAAAAAAGTCTCTTGCTAAGACACTTTTATGTCACTGTAATCCAACTGCAAGATGTGCAGCAACTTTATGAAATTGGTCATGAATTTTTGGTATTGAACTTGAGAATTAATAAACAAATTTGATCCAGCCTTTCAAAGATAGATGGTTTCTAGGTGCCCAAGCAACCAAAGGCCATGGCAAGTGAAATTTTAAAAAAATCTCAGCCTAGAATTCTTATGAAAACAATGTAATGTTTTACAGAACCTCATAATAGTCTAGTTCTTGTCACACACCAAAAAAAAAAAAATTCAGAAAATGTATAGTCACCAAAATGTTGATTTTTTTTTTTGTTTATTTGCAGCATTTTGCTTCAGGGCATTATGAGAGTGCTTTACTTGCTATCTGTGCTGGTGATACAGAAGATTATTAAGAAGATGCACTCTGAAGGCTGTGCAAACCTATTTTAAATAGAAATTGAAGCTATATGCAATGCACTAACTCTAAGAGATCCCTATTTCATATAACAAAACAGCAAAATTAGTAATGTACATTTGCTAATATTAAATCTTTCTTGAGACAGGAAAAAATGTTGGCAGGAACATGGTTTTATCCCTAGTTCTAATTAATATTTCTGATTTTATGATTAATGTAAATTAATGCAACAAATGGTAAAATTACTCCCTGCAGGCATTTGTTTATCATTTAGTGTCACAACATCCCAAACATTCATCAACAGGCTCTGGAAGAATTTATTGACTTCCACACTAGAGAGAAGAAAATATTTTGCTTTATTTACTTTAATTGGGCAAGACAATTTCTTTCTTTAAGGATTTTTTTTCTTTTCTTTCCTACTTCTTAATGCCTCATATTTTATGCTCTTGAACACTATTGTTTTAGTTACAACCACACTAAGCATCTGCCCCATGTATTATCAGTCACTCATCAGAGTGCTTTTGTATTCTCTTTTACTTCACTCACGTACTTAATGGCCTTTCCCTTATTCTGCTTGAAACAAAAGTAAAAATTAGAATCAAGTACTCCATTCATTCCAGTGTCATGCACTGGAAAACCTGGAAGACAAAGCACTACTTTGAGCAGGAAAGTTCCAGAGGATTACAATCTCAATTCCATTTTTACCCATCTAGTTTTAACCATTCATTGAATATTGACCTTCAGAGCATGAAGGTATATCCAGGATGCCCTAGGTGGCACAAATCAAGAACTGAGTATTCGTGGGTAACTTTGCACCTCCTGGAGAGGCCGAAGGATGCGGCGCTCCCTGGAACACCCGCGAACAATCTGACACAGCAAGGAAGGGAAGGCGGCAGAGCCCGGCCTCGAGTCCCCGCCCCACGGAAGAACGTGACACTGCTTAAATACCCCGGGGCTGTTCAGGGCATCCCATCCTGGGCCTCCGTACCTCCTGTCAGCCTCTTAGGGAGCCAGGAGTGAGGGGAAGTACCACACTTTTTAGTGTTCACTAAATATTTGATGTGCCCGTGGCTATTCTCCCGCCGCCACAAGGTGTCCAACTGGACGCAGACCCGCTGGATGTTGTTACAGAGGCACTTTGTGCAGGTGCAGTCCGTGTGACTGAATAAAGCACTGCCACAGAAGGCACAGATACCTGCTAACCAGGTATTTGTGCCGTCTGCGCCTGTCTCTTCCCTCAGCCTCTGGACATAACGCTAATTACAGCGCGTCTGCCTTCACTGCAAATACTGACATCGTGTTACTAACATGTTGATTTAGAATAAACTTAAAATTTCTTTCGAATCTTTCTTGAGTTTGACTCATTTTTCCAAGCACTTCGGGCGGATAATAAAATTGTTAAGTTAGAACTTTGGGGCGAACGTGGCAGGGAGTACAACAAAAAAAAAGGGGGCGGGGGAAGGAAACTGAGCTGAGCACTGCGCCAGTTGCTCACCACAAACATCATTCTAAACCGAAGTTATGTCCTGACTTTGCAACCGTAGCTGGAGGTAGCTCCCAACAGCCGTACCTCGGCACTGCGGGGTCACTTGGTTTCATCTCTGCAGTTCGCAGAAAGGAACAAGGACGCTTCCCGGCACTGCAAACGCGCTGAGCTCCCAGCGTTTCCCGAGCTCCCGTCCCAGCACGTGAGGCGGGAGCTCCGCCCACAGCCCGTCACAAAATGGCGGAGCCGGCGCTAGGACCCCGCGGGCGCTCACGCGCCGGGTAGGAGGCGGGTCCCAAAAGGCTCTGTCCCGCCCCCTTGGCCTCCCCTGCTTTTATTGGACAAGAGCGATGTCAATCTCGGGCCTCCGCCTATCGCCAACGCTCATCTTCTGGCCCCGCCTCCCGCGGCCGGGCGCCACTTCTTGGGACGTTGACGGCTGGAAGCGGTGTTTGGAGCGCAGCCCTTCCGCGTTCTGTGGCAGCCGGGCCGCAGCCCCCCGGTGCCGTCGAGCTGGAAGTGGAGGGGCAGTTGTACGAGCGGAGCCCGAAGCAGCAACAGCAGCAGGAGCGGCGGCCTCCCGACCCCTCGCCGCCGCCGATGGAGGCGAGCCTGACGTGCGCCGTGTGCCTGTCGCTGTTGGAGGAGCCGGTGACGCTGCCGCTGTGCTCGCACAACTTCTGCCGGGGCTGCGTGCTGGAGTGCCTGGCCTCGGCCGAGGCCGCCCGCCTGCAGCAGCTGCAGCGGAACCCGGGCCGGGCCCGTCTCGGCCGCGGGGCGCCGGGGCCGGGGCCGGGCCCGAGCCCGTCCTGCGCCCGGGTGCCTTGTCCTCTGTGCAGGAAGCTGTGCCTGCTGCCCCGCGGCGGCGTGGCCGCCCTGCCCGTCAACACCACCCTGGCCGAGGTGGTCAAGCTCTACCGGTCCGGCGCCGCGGGCGCCGCCACGGCCGGGGAGGCGGCGCTGGGGCCGAAGCCGGGATCCGACCCGCTCTCCCTGCCGGCGTTCGGGGGAAGCTGCCAGAAACATCCGAGCCGGCCGGTGCAGCTCTACTGCCGCATGTGCCGGCAGGCGGGGTGCGGGCAGTGCGTCTCCGAGGAGCACCAGGGCATCTTCCACTCTGTCAACCTCATAGACACGGTGTACCAGGAAGAAAAAGTAAGCGCGGCGCTCCTCCTCCGCTCCGGGGCCTGGCTGGGAGCTTGGGCTGTCCCCCACTGGGCGCGCGTTGTTTTTACTCAGAAACACGGGAAAAGCCGCGGCGTGCTGGGCAGGAGAGAGGCTTGTGCTGCTTTGAGGCAGTAAGGAGTTGTTGGTGGCCTGCCGGGTTGTGCCTTTCCCGGCTGCCGTCAGACTGCATCCAGCGCACACGGGGGACCAGGCAGTATTACAGGAGCAACAGGTCTGAACCTAATTTACCAGAGGGCCTGGAGAGTTATTTTGGAGAGATGTCGGAGATTTTTTTGATTCGAGGGGGAGGAGTGTTGATGTTTGGTTCTGTTATTGTTGTTTTTCCAAGTTCAGGAAGATCTAACAACGCCAAAAAACACCCACAGGTGTTTTGTTTATAGGCTCTCTAGCTGTGATAGGTAATTTGGGTCACAGATAATTGCATATTTAGGGATAGATAGTTTGGGTGAGTAATAACAAATGTATAAGCAAGATGCTTTACAGTCTGCATAAGAAGGCAACTGCCTGCCATAATGGTTGGTTGCCTGGTTGTAGAAGTTGTGATTTTTAACAAAATAGGGACTATTTAGGTAGAATGAGCTTTTCATGCCCTGTGCAAGTTGAGATGCAGGATGGCAGTTCTGTTGTGCAGTAATTGAAACAACTATGGGGCAGTGATGAGAAGTACAAGTATAAAAGTTTAAATACAGCACTGACTATTATTTAAGATAAAAGTTGCTTTTACACTGATTTTGCTCCTGCCTTTCGCATTACCAATTGTATGTCACAAGTGGGAACCAGGGGAAAGCAGACTTTGCACTAAACATATTTAATAAATAATGTAGTGATTCTGAGAAATAAAGGAGGAAGACTCAGTGATAATATTAAACTCAAGCTGAAACATACTGATTATGAGCAGTTTTCTGTTTTAGCAATGTGAGGCATAAAAAGAAAAAGTGAGTATCACACAGCTTTTTGCCAAATTGGAATAAAACCATTAAAACTCATATTGTGATAAATGTATGAGAGGGGAGAGGTTAAAAAAGCCTGAGAAAAATAATGTTATAGCTCTAAAGTAGTCATTCTATCAGTATGCACTGTAGGTGAGCCTAAGAACATTACTTTAAGAAACAGCAGAAGAAGGTTTGTGTACTGATTCAGGGTAGATTTAAATGTTATTAAGTGATGTTTTGAATCACAAGCTTTTTTACTGTATTATTCAGAATATCACAGAATTTATAGGGTTGGAAGGAACCTCTGGAGATCATCCAGTCCAAACCCCTGCCAAGCCAGGGTCACCTGGAGCAGGTGACACAGAATTGAACAGGTGGGATTTGAATGCCTCGGGAGAGGGAGACTCCACCACCTCCTTAGGCAGCCTGTTGCAGTGCTCTGCCACCCACAATGTAAAGAAGTTCTTCCTCGTCTTGAGGTGAAACTTCTTGTGGTTTACTTCATGGCCACTGTTCCTGTCTTTTCAGTGGGCATCACTGAAAAGGGTCTGGCACCCTCCTTTTGGCACCTGCCTTGGAGATGTTTATTGTCCAGACTAAACAGGCCCGGCTCCTGCAGTCTCTCCTCATAAAGGAGATGCTCCAGACTCCTGGTCATCCACTGGACCCTCTCCAGTAGCTCCTTGTTTGTCTTGATCCGATTCTAGATAAGCACTGAAAGTATTTATGTTATGGAATGGATAAAGTTGTAATAAATGTTTCAATTGTCTTGCAGTTAACCTTCTTTAGCACTCTGAAACAAATGAGGATAATGAATGAGAAGCTGGTGAATGAGATCTCAAAACGACCGAACGATGCAGATGTGAGTTACAAGTGCTGGATATTCTCTGTGTGTCTTTGATTCTCTTCTCAAGGTAGTTTATTCACAGCCTGGAGCATACAGGTGCTCCTTGTGGTGTAGATGTGCTCTGAGCTTACTTAGAGAAGTGACTCTGTGTGGACACTGCTATTGCATTTATATCTGTTCTTGTGCTTGTAGATGACATTGAAAAATGATGTGGAGGTAATTGAGCTGAAATTTGGAGAAATTTTCAAAACTCTAGAAGTGAAAAAACAGCAATTACTAGAAGATGCTGGAAATCAAAGAAGTAAAAAAGAGAAGGAATTTCAGATTTGGAAGAAAATGAAAGAAACTCACAAGAAGACCATTGATAATTTTTTGAAGGATTGTGAAAAGCTTGTCCATGAGTGTGATCCTCAGTGTTTCCTGGAGGTGATGGCATTTTGGTTTTGATAGCATTTGTCTAAAGAACTCAAATAGAGCCTGCTGAATTGTAGATAAGATTATAATCAATCAGGGAAAACCAAGTCAACAAATGAAAAATATAGATTAAAATTACTTAACACTTCGTACTTTTTTGTAACAATGTTTTTCATTTTTAGAAAAGTTTGAAAAAGTTTTATATGCTGCTTATCAGTGAATTTTACTGTTTGCTTTCCTAAGAAGCTGCATATTGCTGATTTCTGCAGTGGTCCTTTGGTGCCTCCAGATAAATGGGACATTAAGAAAGTATAGAGTTTGACTAAGTGTCTGCTCAAGGACTTGTAAAGGAAAATGTAACTTGTACTTGAAGTAAAAGTAACTCTCACTTTTGGAAAAAATACTGTGATTCCAGTGATTAGTATGTCACTAATCACTGCCACATCTCTCTTTCTCAGCTTACTCCTTTTCTTCCTGTTGTTCCTCCTCCCCCTCCTTTCTTGTCATTCCCCATCCTGTTTTCATCTTCTTGCTCCTATGTCTCCTGGTTTGCTTCATATTCTGCCTATTTCTTCTGTTTCTCTTTTGCCTTCTGTTGTTCCTCCACTTTTGCCTTTGGTTCTTTCTTAACTTCCTCATCTTTTTCCTCCCATTCCTCCTGTTAAATCTATTTCCTCTTTCTGCTGTTTGCTTTCTTTCACTTTCACTTAGCCGGCCCTCCATAACAGTGCATTAGGTTTTTTGGTGTAAAGATCCAGTACAGTGAGATCACCAGGTTTTATAGGGAAGCAGCTCTAATCCTGTCAGGTCTTATACTTTTCATTACATGTTCTCTGGGAAGTCTCATGTGGCCAGTAGAAGTGCACTGCACTCCTTGCCACTATGATCTGCCTGATTTAAAACTAGAAAACAGTGTTTTTAGTAGTATAATAGCATATTGAGAGCACATAGGAGAGCCTTTCCTCTCCAAGAAATACAAAATAGTCCTTCATTTGAATGTTTACAAGTATTTGAACTTCTGAAACTGATCAGGTGACAATATTGGCCATAATTTGAATGTCTTCATTTGGCTCTGAAGGAGTTTTTTTGTATTTATCACAAAATATTACAAGATAATTATTTATCATAGACATACTTGTTTAGGTTGGGTTTTTTATGTCTGGTGGGTTTTTTAATGTTATCAGCATTATTTTCTTTAAATCTGTGAAATAAAGACAGATACTTTAGTCTCTGAAGTATTTTGATAAAGCAATAATTTCCTGATAGTTGGAGAAATGCTCATGTCTTACAAATTCTCATTTTATTTATAGGTTGCCTGTGGCTTGAATTCAAGGTATATTTTTTCATGTTTTGTTAGTTCTCTAGTTTTCTTTTAGATTATTAAGATTAAAAACTAAAAAATAGCTATATTTGATATCTTAAGCAATTTTAAATGAAAATAGTATTGAGTAATTAAGAGATTATAATACTTTCAGATTTTTGGATGCCCAATATTACAAATTTTAGGGAATGTGTCAAGAATTTGAGTGATGTACTACCTGAGATTAGAGATAATCAAGCTTTTGAATTATCTCCCTAATAAAAAGCAAATATAGAAATTCATTAATACTTGGGGATTAGATATTTTCAGATATCTTATTTAAACTCAGGAACACTGAAGCATGCTTGAAACTTTTACAGAAATCTTTCAGTGTAAGAGAGTGTGTGGAGATTCTGCAGTACCTTTGGTTTTGTGTTGGTAGTGCACATACCCTGTAATGTCTTCTAAGAGTTCTTAATTACATTTCTGAGAACCTTTTAACCTCTATTTAAGGAAGAATATTGAAAATGGGGTTCTTTAAAATACATTGTGTTTCAGACTAAAATTAACAATGCCCTCTGAAAAAGGAGTATAATTCAGATTCAGGCAGTGTATGGTAAAGAAAGTGGAGGGTGTAACTTTTTGCTGACCTACTAGCACTACTTCTTGCAGTTTTCATTGATTATGAAACCTAATTCAAGTGAACAAGTTCCAAGAAAAAAAACTAGAGAACTGTTGTTTTTTTTTTAATGTAAAGCAGGTATAATTTAGCTAGCATGTAAGCATGAAGAAAAATGTTCAAATTGCATTTTTGCAACATTGGGTTTTTTTTCTTTTCCAGAATGAAAACTCAGCTTGATGTGATGAATATAGCATCCAACTGGGAGAAACCACCAGTGTATACACCAAAGAAGATAGATATCAAGTCTGTGGTTAATGAAATCTTAGCATTGGAGTTAACACCTGTTGATGCAGGCATTGTTCAAGGTCAGGAAAAAGGACTTCATTAAGACAAGATTTGGGAAGTCTAGAAATCTGGAACTTGTGGATCCAATTGCTGATAAACAACCTGCATGGCAAACACATGCAAGAAAGCATCTGAGCAAATGAAATGGATGCTAAATTCATGAGGGGTTTTTAAGTGGGTGTTATGAGTGTGCTTTCTGTAGCAGGTTCCTAGGCTGTGTTTGCAGGCTGCAGCACTTTGGATGCCCAGCCAGTAGCACTGTCAGGAGTGTGTTGCTGAACTAGAGGGGTGTTTGTTGTGGTGTCATGCCAGTGTTGGCTGTGCTCACATTAGGTGCCTTTACCTCCCAGGAGTAGGTGTGATGTTTTCTGTTAGGCTAGGCATTTCCAGCATTTAAAATATGTATTACACAGGCTTCTTGGCTGTATATCACAGAAAATTCAGCAAGGACTGGGGTCTCACTTAGGGCACTATATTTTTATTCTTAAATGGAATCCATTTAGGTGCATAGGAATCTTTCAATGTTTTCTATGTTTAATATATTGTTCATCACTATCCTTATGTTTTTTTTCTAATAGAGCTGCCTTATGAAGGAAATGAGAGCTCAACTCTATTTAAAGATACCTTAAAGCAATGGCAGGACCAGAAGAATATACCCAACACATTTCTTGTAAGTTATTGGCTATGTGTTCTTCAGCATGGTACTATTTTGTCTGTTTTGGCTTATCAGAATGAAATATGTCTGCTGCAAAATATTTTTCAGCCTGTAACAGGACAGGATGAAGCAGACGGTAGCAGGATCCCTACTCGCTTTATGTCAATATCAGAAATGTCAGCATTTCAAAATATGAGCCATGAGGTATGATTGAACATCAGTTGTAAGTATGGCTAAGTTACTATTTGTTGTGATGGAACTTTCTAAATAAGCTTTTAACATGTTTTTCAGTTTCCTGAGTAGAAAGTTACTCTTACAATTCTAGAATGAAATCTGGCTAGGTATTAAAGCTGTCAGAATTGTACTTGGTTTTTTTTGCCTTTAGAAAGCTGAAACTTAATCTTACTACTGACTTCAAATACTTACTTTTATATTTAATGTGGCTTTTTGAGTCACATCTGTTGCTTTCTAATCCAAATAAACTTCCCTAGTGTCTATTTGAAGAGGCAGTTATCTGCCTGTATTCTGTTTCCTAAAGAATAGAGTTCCATCTTGTAAGAACACATAATAATTTGACATGAAACTGAATTCAATCTTTTTTTTGTTTCATTTCAAATTATGCAGTTATGCAACTAGATTTTTAATTTTTTTTTTTTTACTTACTAGCAGCTCCATGTGGGTGGCTCAGTATTGTTGTGCAGAGAATGATTCCAGTTACAGTTAGTGAAACATGGCTGGCAGTGAATCACATTATGCATGTTCTGAGAATACCAGTGGCAGATGAGTGTCTTTAATATTGCTTAGGTCCTTTAAATACAGACAATTTTTTTCTGCATTGTTTTGGAAAATACCTATTTTCTATTACTATTAAGAATGCAATTATATACAATAACAAAAGAACAAACCCCCACCATCTAACTTAATTTCAGATGGCTATTTTTTATGAGAATTTGATTGAGAATTTGTTGCTTAATATCTACGTTAGTGTTTTTATATATTTTTGGTTTTGATAGTGACTTTAAATACAGTTTTATGTAGTCTTCTCTTTCCAAACCTACTTTGTCATCAGGATTCTATGTGTATGTTGTTCAATTGTCTTTAAAGCACTTTTTTCTGTAAGGACTTGTGTCCTGTTGCCTTCCAGTAGCAATGGAAAAATACATTAGAATTCTCTAGAATATAGGAAAACTTTTCTTCAGTCTTAGATATAGATGAGTTTTATAACTGCTGAATCCACAAATACCATGTTGGGATAATGTGATTTTTTTTTTTTTTCCTGTAATTCTAGGAGCTACGTTACAAATACTATATGGAACTTCAGAAGCTCACCAATGTGTTTAAGACTCAAAGTTTCCCTGCAAACAAAAAGTATAAATTTGTAACTGCTGAGGCCTTCAAGGATAAGTCCTCAGGAACTTCTTTTGTATCTTCACCTACCAAAGCAAATAAGACAGATAAAATAAAAATGGGAGCCCTGCAAAGAGGAGGTGGCTTTGACAAAGGAAACTCTCCTGGAAGCAGTGCTCACAGCATCCCATCCACAAGTAATGGTGGCTTAAAATTATTTCATGAGGGAAGTGGCCAGGAAGTATCTGCTGTAGCTTTGTCAGAAGCCTCTCCAGACTTGTTAATTAAAGAAAAATGGCCAAGACAGGCATCAGCAGGTACTGTTTCCAAGGAAATGAATGCAAATTCTGGCACTTTATTGGACTTACAACCAGCAGCAACAGTGGCTGTTACTGTTTCAGCTTCAGAATCTGTAGATGTTTCAGCAGAGAGACCTTCAGGTGTACCTTTTACTTTCAGTGCATCTAACAACTCATTACCAAGATTTAGTAAAGACAGAGGTACATTTTCCTTTAAAAAGCAAGACAAGAGGTGTACTTTCCCTCAGTTTTATTTAGGGAAATGTGATAAGCTGGATAAAACCAATAACCAGGATAAATATGGTCCTGAAGCCAAGAACATAGTTTGTGATGCTCCAACAAGTCCTAATTTAGTCTCACCTGAAAGTGAGAAACCACACATTTTGTTTCCCTTTGGCAATTCAGAAAGAGATTGGTTTGCGGGATCGGAAGCTAGCAATTCATGTAAGGTGTTACCATCATCCTCATTTTTCACCCAATCTGAGAAGCCATCTGACAAAACATTATCTCACATGAAGGAAAAAACACCTTGTGCAAAGGAACCTGGAGGATGTGGTACACAGAAACCATCTGTCTTAAGGGAGCAAAAACCTCACACCTCAGAATCCAGCACAACTGTAGCCTGTGGTACTTCAGACACCAACACTGGAGCTGGGGTGAATGACATCTCCAAGACCCCTCTTCTCACCAATAATTGTGTGTTTCCTTTCAAAAGTAACTTTCCATTGCCTTCACCAGTATTTTCATTTGGAGGCATTCTCAGAAATACCTCTGATTTGCTGACTTCTTCTGTGTTTTTTTCTGGAAACAGAACAGAAAAAATTGATAAGGAGAAGATGAAATCTGACAAAACACTTCTAAATCTAGGAAAACCTGTAACTTCAGAGTGTGCAGAGCCACCTTCTCTTCAGAGTCGTCCAAAATGTGAAGGCTCATGTTTGCCAGTGAACTCATCTGAAAACACTGAAAGTGCAGAAAGGCTTGGTGATGGTAACACTCCTTGTCAGCCTTTATGTTCAGGAGTCCTTCCTGTTGAATATGAGAATGCCGCCTCCACTCAACTCCCTGAAGCAACACAACAACAAAAAATGGTAAAAGATGAAGAAGCTGTTTCTGAAAACAACTGTTTGTGTCCTAGAAGGGAGGATGAACCTGAGTCTGTACAGTGTCAGAGTACAGCTTGTTCTGTTCCTGGCACGTGCAACGATCCATCTTTAGGAGGTTCTGTGCTTGCAGTAAATGAGACAGGAGAAATGCTAAGAGACAGCACTTCTGACACTTAAGAGCTAAGTCAAACGTCTGTCTCTACTGATACCAGCCATGCATCAGAATATTTTTCTGTTGCTGAAGACAAAATGTCAGGTAGAACAAAATCAGATGTGAAGAGAGACTGAAAAGGAAAATTAACTGGAATGAAATAAATGCTACTTAACACATTAAAAGGTGGGCATAGTTGTGATTTTACAGCTGTTCTACCCACTTCTCACCAATCAAGGTATATCTCTGTCAGAAACATAACTGCTTATGAGCAGTACAATGCAATGAAGTGACTTTTATAGTATAGTCATTATCTCGAGAAACAACCAAAAATGTCATGTCCTGCTCAAGACCAAAGCATAGCCATAGATGCTGCATCTTCAAGAATGCAAACCTTCTGGGGTATGTTTGGGGGATGGGGAGCTGAGGTGTCCCAGAGAGCGAGCTGGGTGAAGCCTCAGTGGCAGGAGGCAGTTAATTGCTGTCTGTGTGCAGCAGCACTTGCAATTAAATGGGTAAGAGAACAGCCAGAGAGCATTCACCTCACAGGCAGGGAGGGAGGAGAGCCACAAAAATAAAGGATATTGAAGGTGTTACTAAAAATTGTGTTACTTATCTCCCCTTGGCTGTTCCTTTTTCTGTGATGTGTTTAATGTATGTTGAAGGTGTAAGTTCAAGTGTAATTTCAATAATTTCTCTTGTGCTTTTGAAATGGAAGCATCATATCAGTGTTCTTGTTACACACTGCAGAAGGGTGTCAGCTACACTTGTGAAGTGCTGCTTTCAGGAAAAAGAAACATCACAATTGAATTTCAGCTCTTTTTGGCAACTGTTTGGGGATACTTGGACAGATTAACTTGCTGTTTTATTGAAAGCTTTTGGAGACCCTAGCTTTTAAACCACAAAAACTTTATTTTGATGTCTGTGTGTAATAATAAGAAAAAAGGAAAACAGCACTTCTTACTATATATTAATGATTTGGAATTCATGGAGTTTTTAGTCTGAAAATCAGTACACAGTAAGGATAGAAAGACCATCTTTTCTACTTTGCTGGCTATCTTGCTGGATCCAAGAGATAACTGCTTTAGTTATTGGAATACACAGACAGAAGCACTGTTTCAGAATAAAGGTCTATTGTGTTTACTGTTTATGCTTCAGCAAAAGCTGATGCTAGGCTTTAAAGAAATTAATTGTGTATTAGATAGATATGGCAACTGGCAGTATTAAATCAGAATGCAGAATGTTTAATATTTCTTCAGAAGTTTTCACTGGCAACTAGAAAAATCAACCTGCAAATTACCTCTGTAACTCTGTAAGAAAAATATTACTTAAATTCAAATCTCTGCAGTATTTACTAATATACTTACTGTGACATAAAGCTTAGAGAAACCATTCTTCTTTCAGGAAATTTTGACCTAATTTCATTTGTGTTCAGTTCTTGGCCTCAGTTTTTCTGTGGCAGTGCATTCCTTTATTAAATGTGCTGAAAATTATTAAATGTTTCTGCTATTTATCGCAATAATGCAACTTTTCTGTCTGCATTACAATAAGGAAGGTGGTAAAAATTCTCTTTATGGTTAGTCTTTTAGTTTTTGATGTTCATCACTTAAATCTTACTGTATTTCAATATTTCTCCTAAGATTTTTTTTCTGCTGTTATCTCTAGACATTCATGTCATGTTCTGCATGTGTAAGAGAGAAATGTTAACTCAAATCACTGGAAGACAAAGGCTGAGCAAGATGATAATGGCAGTGTCACAGGTGGCAGTTGGTCTCACTCTAACAAAAGCAAGAGAAATTGAACAATTTTAGAGTCAGATGAGGCACCTGTAAAATTCAGCACCAGAAAGTTGCAGAAAATGTTTGTTTTCTTTTACACTGACAAAAAAAATCCTAATGAGCTAGGGTTAATCAGAAACTATAAAAAGTTTCTGAAGCTTAACATATTTTCAACCTGTCTTCTGTTAATTTCTGTTATTTCATGAGAGTTTGATAAAGTCTATCTTCCATGCAGAAACTTTTTCTCTTAGTGAAAAGACACTCATAAAGCAAATACTACTATATACTACTTTGAAAGTAAAAGTTGTGGGTGTGGGGGTTTGCTCTAGTCCTGGGGCTGCTTTCAGGCTTTGCTGTCCAAGTGCCTTACAGTGCAGCATTCAGGTTTTGCAGGGCAGATCTGGTTCACATAAAACAAACAAGAGGATCCTCGCCCACTCCCTGGGCCATACTATGCTGACCCAGAAGGGAGCCCTTCCCCTGTTCCCTGAAAATGCTGTGAGGTACAGAATAACCTCTGGATCTTGGGCTTGCCTCCTCCTGACTACTGTAAAAATTAACCCTGTCCTGGATGAAAGCAGGACAATCAGTGATTTTGGGTGAACCAGAGCTAATTCAAAGAAATGGGGTTCAGAGTTGTCCCTAATGCATATTTGGCTTTTTATTCATAGAGAATAACTTACACCACTGTCTTTGTCATCATCATAAAATTCTGTGTAGCAGTGAGGACTGATGTCAAAGCCTCACTTTCCTAGGTTATCTAAACTTAGGTGTGTGTGCGTATATTTTTTTTCAGATATAGGTAAACAAAAAGGCAGTGTTAAAGTGAAGCATTTGTCTGAAAATACTACTGAGAAATTTGCCCTTGCTGGGAAAAAAAAACCAAAAACAGACAAAGAAAGGTTAAAAAAAAAAAACAAAAACAAAAACAGAAAAAAACCCCAAAGCACCAAGGAAATAGCATATTTTTCTAAACTCAGTAATTTGTTTTACACAATTCTGTATCTTTCTGATTCCTTAAAATACAGGGGATAAAAAATTAAGCAATTCTACATATGGCTGAAAAATTTTGTTCATCAAGCTTTGTGATATTGTTATGAAGCCCTCTATGTATTTCAGATTTTGTAAACTAAATCTGCAGGCCAGTTTGAAAGCTTTTTTAGTGGTTCATGACTATACTACTTGATGATTTAATAGAAGCCTTGGAAAGCAATTAAAATAGTTTGTTTTATTATAATAGCTAAAGTAGTTTTTGAACATGCTTCACAAATGAGCTGAAAGTTTCTAGTGCTGTCCTACTGAGGCTAATCTCTCCAGCTGTCAGAAATGTGATGTTTGTTCAATATATGTCTGAGAGCTGTATTAACATATATGTCACTGCCTGGATAAAAGGTGCAACTGAAAGATAAAGTACAACTATTTGGTTTTGTAACTATTAAAAAAAATAAAATTTATTAAAAACAATTGTTTAGTTGACATTAGAGCTGCTTAAATGTCAGTATTTAAAGGTTAACTTCCTAAAGCAAACTTTGCATTATTTTGTGGTTTTGGTTTAATTATTATTTTATTATTGGTTATTAGCTGAAGCTTTATTCTGAAATTGTATTTGATAACTCAGATCTAGTAACTTTCTAACATAAAAACTGATGGTCTGTGTGGTAAGACTGTTAAGTACTGGTGCTGGGTTAGTTTTCATTCTTCAGGTAACATAGTTCAGTTTCCCTTTATAGTTTTCTTCCAGCTGTTTAAATGGCAGTAGAACATTCTTATTTGGGTCATCACAGTTCACTTAGATTTGTTTTAGTTTAATAAAAACAAAGGAGCATTGTTCCCTTTTAAGTTTCTTTAAAAGTGAAGTATATATTGTATTCTAAAAAATTTACTACACCCAATAGATTTAATAAGCAGTGAAAAATCCTTGAGTGCATAGTAAGCGTGTTTAACCTGAAGAAAGAAAAAAATCATTCATTTAACTTGAAAAAAAAAATCAAATAGATATGCGCTTGAACTGTTTCATTGTTAATAAACCCTGGTGTGTAGGTAGAGTAAGGATGAAGAGAGTATTTGATATGAGCTCAAATACTGAAACAGTAGTTCCCTGGGATCACTGCAGAGAAGCTATAAGCTTAAACTAATAATGCTGCAGAGGCTCATGTTTCTATAATTATATTGAGCATATAAGACTCATGAGTAGTATTAGAAAAGATAATTTATTAATATTATATTGAGAACATGGTATCAACTGTTTGAATAACCTGTTGCAAAGCTAAACTGGAACAGTGCAGACAAATTTGCTGGCTAAATTGAGCAGGAGATTGTGTGAGCTTTCTATCAATGATGAAGACCCTGTGTTTTGCAAAAAGGACCCCTAATTACTGAAAAGTAACTTAATAAACTCAGTTCCTAGTAGTTAAGAATGCCATGTGGGTTTTTTTTTTTAATACAGGCAATATTTTGTTGAAATACTGGAAACATGGAAGATTTTTGGACTGGAAAGGATGTTAAGAGCAATCTAGTCAGTCACCTGGGTTGGTGCAGTCTTAGGCACAAATCCAGGCTCAGAAAACATGGATGGAGCCCTGCAGAGAAGCACTTGGGGGGTGATGGTTGATAAAAAACTGGACACAAGCCCAGAAAGCCAGTGGTATCCTGGGCTGCATCAAGAGAAGTGCAGCCAGCAGGTCAAGGGAGCTGATTCTCCTCTTCAACTCTGCTCTTGTGAGACCCCACCTACAGTACAGTAGAGCATCCAGCTCTGGTATCCCCAATAGGAGAAGGACATGGAGCTGTTGGAGCAAATCCAAAGAAGGGCCATGAAGTTGTGAAGTGCAGTGGATCACCTCCCCTATAAATACAGGCTGAGGAAGTTGGGTCTGTTCACCTCCCCTATAACTACAGGCTGAGACAGTCGTGGGGAGACCCGACAGCAACCTTCCAGTATCTGAAGGAGGTCCACAGGGAAGCTGGAAAGGGACACTGTCAGGAAATGTAGTCATGGGACCAGGGGAATGGCTTCAAACTGCAATAGTTGGTTTTGATTAGGGAGAAATGCATTACTGTGAGGGCAGTGAAGCACTGGAACAGGATGTCCAAAGAAGTGGAGGATGCACAGTCCCTTGAAAATCTTCAAGGCTAGGTTGGATGGGACTTTGAGCAACCTGGTCTAGTGGAAAGTGTCCCTGCTTATGGCAGGGGGTTGAAAAAAGATAACCTCCAAGGTTCCTTTCAAGCCAGGCCATTACAGAATTCTGTAGTCTCAACTCCCCTGTGGGCGCGGATATCTTTCACTAGACCAGTTCAAGGGCTGTCTCAGGGCTCTTCCTTGGGACTGGGGATTGGCAGTGCCTTTAGCAATGATACCCAGGGGCACTGAGCACCCCCACATTTGCAGGGGACGGGAAGCTGAGCAGGGCAGGGGCACCATGGGATGATGGCATCATCCAGAGGCACCTGGACAAGCTTAAGAAGTGGGACGAGAACCTCATGAGGTTCCTCAAGGCCAGGTGCCAAGTGCTGCACCTGGGCCAGTGCAATCCCTGAGTCACAGATTTTTCCAGATCAGAAGAGACTTCCAAATCCCTCATTTTAGTCCTCCCACCATCTCCAGAACCAGCTCTTGGTTGGCCCTTGGGGCTTTCCCATGCCCTTGCCCACTTCCAGGAGTGCTGGCCAGAGGGGAGCACACACAGCCTGTGCCTTCTCCACAGCCCTTGTGGGCAGTCTGTCCGGTCGCTGGCCGCATGGGCTCCACTGGGGAGCGTCTTTCCAGAGCCGAGAAATCAACTGCTGTAGCAATTATAGCAGTCTATACCTGTGTGATGCCCTGGCCAATTTTTCCTGACTTCTACCACTGTGTAATAAGAATTCCTTGTGGTGTTAAATCTAGGTCTGAAGGGGAGTCATATTTTCAGTGTAGTGTTCTAAAGAAAAAAATGTGAGGATGTTTTGCTCCATCCTGGGTCACTGAACAATACAGAATTTAATATAAGCAGCCAAAAGGATAGGATTATTTTCAGCCTGGAGCATGCCAGTGTTCCATCCATATAGATATAGGCATCAGTAAGCTACATTTACACTTGCAGCTGATGAGCAGCAGAGGGAGGAAGAGCTGCAATCTATAAGCTGTTTAGTTTTCCCTGTTCAGTCTAACACTGTAAGTATTATCTACTTTGTTGGTATTTTCTGTTTTCTCCTTCTTATATTTGGAATCTTACAGTGATTTGGAGATTTCTTCTTTCCTCTCAGCATGTTGCCACTATCTCTTTACTGTAGTAACGATCTTAAAAAATTAGAATACAATACAGTGTATTAGTTTTCTAGATTTAATATAGCTATATAATCTTGGAAACCTCTTCAAAATGGCAACAAGAACTAGTGCTGAATCCACAGGTCAAAGGGTGATGTTATGTCACTAAGAAACACATTTTTTATTTCCATTTGTCTAACAGCCATTGGGCAGCAGAAGATTAATAGTATGTAAATGGCCTGCTATGGACCAAAGAGTTTTCATCATTTATGTAGTTTTGTGTCCAACTCCTTTCCCTGTGCAGGACACTCCATTAATCACACCATGTGCCTGAGAGCATTGTCCAGGTGCTTCTGTACTCGGACAAGGCTTGGTGCTGTGACCCCTTCCCTGAGAAGCCTGTTCCAGTGCTCAGCCACTTCCAGCTGTGGAACCTTTTTCTGATATCCAGCCTAAACCTGCCCTGACTCAGCTTCCTGGTGTTTCCTTGAATCCTGTCCCTGGTCACCACAGAGAAGACATCAGTGCCTGCCCCTTCACAAGGAAGCTGTACTCTGCAGTGGGGTCTCCCCTCACTCTCCTCTCCTCCAGGCTGAACAGACCAAGTGATCTCAGTTTCTCTGTTACTTCACAAACAGCTTCCCTTCCAGACCCTTCAACGTCTTGTTGCCATCCTCCTGACTTTCTCTAATGACCTAATGTCTTTTTTATATTGTGGCACCCAAAACTGCACACAGTGCTCGAGGTGAGGCTGTCCAGAGCAGGACAATCCCTCCCTGGCCTGGCTGGTGATGCTGTGCCTGATGCACCCCAGGACAGGGATGGCCTCCTGGCTGCCCAGGCACCATGACTCAGGTTCAATTTACCATCGACCAGGACCCCCAGGTCTCTTTCCACAGTGCTGCTCTCCAGACTCTCATTCCTCAGCAATCCCAAAATAGCAGTGCATCACTGTGGGATCTCAGTCTCTCAGAACTGGGGTGCAGGGTGAACAAGACCCCCCCTGGGGGGCTCGGGAGTCCTGGAATGCTGCCAGAAATGTCTGGTGGCTGGACTTTGATCCCACATGGGAGATGACATCAGTATGAGGACGGGAGGATTTCACTGGGGTGAATGGTGAAGGGACAAGTTAATTGGGGTGTGAGATACAGGGCTTAAGATTTCTGTACAGGGGGGTCTAGAGAAGTAAGATGGAGGAATTGGGGCGTGCCCTTCTCCTTCTTCTTCTTCCTCTAGACCTCCATCTTCTGTGGTGATGTTGGCACTCCGGGATTGGACCTTACTAGGGGAACACTGGTTAATAAGGGTAGAGGGTATTGGAGAAAAATGATAAATATTGTATACGTAACTCCGGGTATAAAGATAGGTGACCGCCCCAGGGGCTTTCAGTGTGTGCCCATGGTTGACTGCTGAGCAGAACTCTGTCAGGCCAAGAGAAAATCTTTTAGATAAGCAATTAATAAACACCAAGACCAAGAACAAATCTGAAGCTTCCTCTCGTCCTTTCGAACCCGGGGGCCCAAGGCCATCTTTGGGCTTTTCCCCAGACCATCTGAACAGCCCAGAAATCCCACAACTGGCGTCCGCTGTGCGGGCTATCTCCCACCAAACCTTTCGGGGGGGGGGAAAGCCCTGAAGAGCTGAAGAGCC